CTGAAAGACTAAATGGATCTTTGCAGGGTTCAAGCTTGCATTTATTGGTCACCTCAACATGCGAGGTCTGGCGTCAGGAACAGTCGGGGCTATCACAACTGTGCGCTCATAAAACCACAGCTGCGAAAACAGAAATAAACCATGAATTCATGTTACCCAAATAAGAAAAAAATAATTCTTGACTGGGGTTGGATAATAGACTAACCGTTAGAAGAAAAACAAATTTGTTAAGGTATTTTAATGGTTGACCCATCTTTATTTTGATGATGCTGGCATTGACTTGCTCAATGAGGTGGTCACATACCGTTGCGACCTAATTAAATGAAGAAAAAATATCTAAATTCTTAGCAAATGAATAGAGCCCTGTGAGCACACTAAAATTGCTAGAAGGAAAGAGTAAATTAGACAACAAAAATTTAATAATAAGTTTATCAAGTGAATTGGATGATTCTCCGAGTGACCCCTTCAGTAGTTCACTCTTTGCCCGCCTGTCATCCACGGCACTGACGGGTTTTTTGTCCCAAGTAGCTGTAGGTCCTCTGTTGGGCATGTCAATCAACAAAGCAACTTGGTCTGCATCAAAACTGAGTTCCTTCCCCCCCAATCTGAATGTCAATCTATCCATATCCCAACAATTCAATATGTGCATAGTTAGAATGTGATCTTGAGGATAGGGGGGAGTTCAAAAAACTGATTCAGTTTCAATTTTCTTAGATTTGACCATGTTTCCTGAGAGACAATTGCCGAACCTTGTCCAACACTTCTCTAACTACTAATGGACAGCATTTGCAATTCATAGACTATTTGTTCATCAACCTACAGGAATATGATACATATTATTAATACTGACAATAACTCATCAATATCTAAGAGTAACCGGAAATAACCGAAAAATAACCCCTAAATAACGTGATAATAACCCTAAAATAACTTTAAAAGTAACCGGAAATAATCTTAAACTAACCTCAAAATAACCCCAATATCTAAGAGTCTAAAGCTATTCTTGGTTTTTTTGAAGGTTATTCTGGGGTTATTGTTGGGTTATTTTCGGGTTATTATGTATTTCTTCAACAATAACCGGCAAATAACCCAAAACTAAACTCAAAATAACCCCTAAAACCCCCGAAAATAACCCATAATACATCCATTAAACATACAAAATAATTTCAAAGAATATTTCATTGTTTCTTGAGAGAACTAGTGAGTTACTTTTTTTCGGGTTATTCTTCGATTATTGTTGGGTTATTCTCCGGTTATTGAGTATTTCTCAAAAATAACCCGCAGATAACTAAACCCTAACCACAAAATAATCCAAAAATAACCTCACGACAATCCAAGAAAAAATTGAAAATGGATTCAAGTAAGCAAAAAATCTCACCTCCGTTCCAAACGCGTTGACATTGTTTTCGTAATCCATGCTTCATATTTCTTCATTAAGAGAAATCTATCTCCATCAAAGCAGCAAAGTGACCGTAGGACTGCAATGACTAAACCCTAACAGAGAAAAAAAAAACGCTTTTTGAAACCCTATTTTTCTACTGTAAATGGCAAAAAAGAACTTTCTGATGGGCTAAGACGTACAAATCCAAAAAAGCGAAGGGAAGATGCCGAAAAAGTGAGATACTACAAAAAAGGCGGATGCTCGAAAAGATGGGGACATCGGGCAGAGTCAGACTTCAGCGCGTTATTTTTTTTATTTTTTATTTTTTGATTATGTGGACGTGGCCGAATTTATATAGACTGCGGACGTAGAGAACCGTTCGGAGTCCAGATGGAACAAGTGCTCCTGATATGGGGCCAAAGTTTGTGTTCAACTTGAAAGAAATTTAAGCTGTGATAGGACTATATTTGGTATTTTAGACAAGCATATGTATGCGGTGGTGGAACTAGAATTTAAGGAAATGCGTAGCAAAATAAATAATTAAGGGTTGACAAGTGTTTAAGTTTAACACTTTCATCTCCTTAAAATTTTTTAAAAATTATCATAAATATAATTATTAAATTAAAAATATAGTTAATATTAAATTATTATTTAATATTTAAATTTAAGAGAATTTTTTTGTGGATTATATGTTGTCAAAGAGTTCGGTAAAAAATCTAGAGATGATAAGTGCCCTATCCAACCCTTATTTCCATCACTGTTTGTATGCATATATATTGTGCGTGCATGCTTATTTGTGTGCACGCGCATACATGCACAATGTTTAGAATTATAACACATTTTAAAGGATAAAGTGGTACATTTGAGTCGAATAAACCCTTATGGAATAAATATGCAGCCACTTGTGAACCGTCGGGTACTTTCTTTTCAATGTTTGTTCAACTATTCTTTTACCCGTAAACGCAATGTGGCATTAGGTTCCGCAATAATGATATCTCCCAACATACCAAACCTTGCTATAACTTGTAAAGATTGATACATAAAATAACTTTTATTTAATTGATAACATATAAAGTAGAAGATATTTTAGCCATTTGCATCAAGCTTAAACTCCCTTCTTGCATGTGTGCTTTTCCAGAAGCACACAAAATAATGATAGGTAGAGATTGATTAATAGCATACTCGATCAAACAGGTGCTTTATTTACCTACTACGGATCTCATACCAATTCCCATTAATTGAAAATCCTTAACTTCAATTGCTATGAGAATACTGTTTAGTTAACCTACGGTCATTTGAACAACTTCAGTTAAACCCACATTTCTTTGATAAAAAGAAATGCGATCTATCTAAGGTTTGTCCTCTGAATGAAATTCAATGAGGTCTATAGAGACCATATCTTCATCCATAGGCTCCCAAGTGCTAGGATCAATAAAGAGTTGAATTTTATCTGAACTTCTCATTTTCAAATGATATCCGCAGTATTCACAAATATTCATTTTTGAACTATTTTTTTTAATATAATCCATAATAATTCTCACATTGAACCCATACTAATTTGTATTTTGTATTTATATCAAAATCATTAGATTTTTCTCTTTTATTGAAATAATTGCTACTAGTTTGATACTAGAATTTTCTTCTCAATTCTACTTGTATTTTCCGTACAAATGAAACTAAAATATAACTGTCGATATCACTTTAAATGTCACTATTAAAATTGATTTCAAAACAAAAATAACTATCAGTGCAACTATTAATGTGATTATTCGAATTAGATTGAGGATCATACATTAAATAATAATAGTAGTAATTACTACTATTAGACCCCACCCACTATTCAAATAACTAGGTAATTCAGTCAAAAGAACTAGTATTGTCAATATCAAATGTATAATTTTCAATATCAAAATATATAAAGTGTCACCATTACTATTTCTAACTAAAAAAATACAATCAGAGATCAAACTCCAAAGATTCCTACCATCAAATAAATAATTTAGATAATTAATAATTACCGGTTGTCCCAACTAGGATTCTTTTTATCCGCATTTTATCGCATAGTTCTTCACTTCCACTAGTATGTCCAAGCACATCAAGACTATCTTGATTTACGAATTGAACCAATATTTTTTCATAGATTATTTATGCCTCTATTTTAGGATAACCTAATACTATTGATGAATAGTCATTTGATGAAGAAAAAGATCATATTACTATTTCTTTTTTTTTTAATTATTTTTCATCAATAAAGCATATGATTTAATGTCAATGAAAAGCAAGAGAGTCTTGAAAAGAAAGGATTCTCTTGTTGAGGAATTCATTGAATCATTTCATTAATATGATAGAATCATTTCATTACTATGATAAAATATTACTATGATAGTAATATTTTTTTTAATTATTTACGAATTCATTGAATCTCGTGTCGTATGGTCAAATAAGAAAATGAGTTTCTATTACAACAGAGAACGAAAAAGACAATATACAAGATAGGGGTAGAAGACATTCTTGTCTTTGCTTGATCTATAGCCTGAAACTAAGGAATATAAAATAATTCACCAATCCAACCCCAAGGATTCATAATGCAGCTTATGGCTCTAACAATAAATAAATGATCAGACGAGCTGTTTAGTTTTCCTTCGATTTTATCTTCTTATGTTTATATTTTGTATATATTTGTATGTTATATATCGTAATTTATGTACATAAAAAAAGATATATGCAAATACACAAAGACCCTCATCCTTCATAGTATAGGATTAGTATAAAATGTTCATTCTTTATTCGATTCAGCCCAATCTTTTCCTCAAAAAGAAAAAAATTGAGCCAGGTTTCATTGCAATTGATTAGGAGAACAAAAATGAATTGTTGAATTCTACACGCTTATTTTGCCTCAATATTTGGCTTATCCACTGGTTCAAAAGAATGTGATCTCTTTTTAGGCTTCACAAGCAGCGGCTAGGTCAAGGGCTCCATTTGCTAGCTTCATGAATAATATCATCACCTTCATGTTGTACACATGCTTCTAAAGCCACCCAATTAGCTACTGCACTGAGTACATTTCCTCGAGGGTGCCCTAAATTTCCTATACCAACCACAAAGATTTCATAAACTTATGCATGGAAAGGCGTATTTCACTTTTAAAAAGTTAGTAATAGTAATATTTTGTGTCACTAAAGATTGAAACGTTGTGTTACTAAAGATTGAAACGTTATATATGTAAATATTGAAGTTTATATGTTATGTATGTAAATACATAAGAATTGTGTTGTCTGTATGTAAATGCCCCGAAATTAATTTGATTTTCGCATATGCCTGAACAAAAACTATTATACAAAGTATGACGTTGTGTTTTGTCATTTTTTTAAATTTGTTCTGGTCTTTGGCTGTTTTTTTTTTTTTTTTTCTTTTCCTGTTGGCTGTTCATGTACAAGCTGCTTGTTTCTGCATTATGTGCTGCTTTATTCATCTACTTATCTTACTTACACCTTCAGTTTTCCTTGTTTACTGTGTAGAGAATTCTAACAAACTAAAAGGAACTTAAATGATTATCCATGACCATTCAACACAATGTTATAAAAATTGATTGATTTATTTATTTTTATGTTTTGTGCAGTACATTCCCGGCACAAAGATGGTTTTCCCTGGTCTGAAGAAACCCCAAGAGCGAGCAGATCTTATCGCCTATCTCAAGGAGTCTACGGCTCCTTGATTTCTTGGAAGCAAAGCAGTGCATGCATATAGATTGACCATGATTTTTTATAATAAAGATCTCAATAAAATTAATTAGAGGCCCCATTCTTTATAAAACTGGTGCGGCTTGAACTTCATTCTACTATTTTGACTTCATGCTATATTGTTGTCATAATTCATTTTCAATGTACTTCAATTTTGAGTTTGGAAGTTGGGAACTTATGTGCTGTATTTTTTCTGTTTATTGATTCTCCTGCTTCTACGCCCATTTAATTTTTTTTTTTTTTGGGTCAAATTTAAGAGCCCATGATTTTATACCCCCAAGATGTGATTAATACTTAATTTATATTGCCACTAAATAAGAGTAATCTAAACACATTTGGGTTATGAGCCTAATCGCATTTGATAATTATTGTTTAAGTGCACTTCTTAGTTTTGTTATATTATTAGTGTTAATAGAAAAACAATTGTTTGACATGTTATTTTCAGTGAACAATAACAGATTAAGTTAATTGGGCTAAGAAGTTTAATTATAACTATAAAGTATATTATTATTTTGGATATTATAAGATTATTGTGTAGTTAGAAAGTACTTCAAATTATTTAAATTTTACAGTTTTATTTTACTAACTTACATGTGAAATATTTTATTTTATTTAATGATAAATCTTCTATTTTATAATCATTTTATTGACAGCTAATTTATATTAAATATATGGGTGATTTACATGCATAGCACGTCACAACTAAACTTGAACACCTTGTTATGATCTTTACTGGTGTTTGTTTGCCCTCTTATCTGTAGCCCTCTAGCTTCAATGTCACCTTCAACCAGCTCAAGAAATTGCAGTGGCAGCTCCGGTGGGTTATTCTTTACCATTTTTTCTTCGGCCAAATAGGAAGCTGTGGAAGACTAACTTGACAGGTTTCAACCACAGGTATATGGAACATCATCTCCTGTGCTGAGAAAGTCTAGGCATTTAAAAAAAATTCAGAACGCCGGAGTTTCAACTTTCAGGAATCCCCAAGCTTCGGTTCCCCCAATTTAAACTCACTTCCTCACTATTTTTCATCATTGCTGCTACTCTAGTTTGAAATTTGCCAGCATTGTCTCATGTGCAGCAGTTGGGCGCAAAATCCAGTGAGATGGAGAGAGGAACAAACGGCTGGACATTAACGGGGCTATTGATTTTAAAGGGAAGGTGCTATTTTTGAGCTTTATTTAATATTTGGGGTGCTGTAAATATAAATAGTTATGTTTAGATGTGAAATATATAATATTAAAAATTTTGAGTGCTATGCACGTAAATCCCCCAATTTAAATCAATTCGAGTGTTATTACCGTCGCATGCGCCGTAACCATCGCAACTGATAGATCCTAGCGCAAGTACACAAAACCCATAGCACACAAAAGTTGCCTTTCAATTCCAAGTGTGGGTTTATTACTAATTAGGCACATGAGCAATGGTAGAAATTAATGGGAGTTACATCGAAAGCAATAATTTATAAGTTTATCATTGGATAAAAATAAAATAAAGAATTCCAAATGAAATAGGTTTTCTTCACTTTTTCTTCGTTTTGTTCTAAGTGTACTGGTTTGGAACGTCCGTGTTGGTTTTGTTGAGCTATTCGGTCAACGTCAATACGCACGGTGTGCTTAGTTACACATCACACCTATTGAGGGTTCATTTGTTGACCTCAATTTTGGCGAGGTCTTTCTTTCCTCTTAGTGCTTAGGATCTAGCAATAGGACTTTCCTTTTAACTATCCAAGAAGACTAGAGAAGAACCCACTGACAAAGAAATTTAAATCACTTTCTTGATCTTTTTGGAACCCACATGGATGCTCATGAACTTCCAACACTTGGAAGGTTGATACCAATATGTGAGGATTCAAATGATGAGTCTCCATAGGATTGTTGAACTTAGGGCAACCCTGGGTGGCTAGGGCTTGGTCTCACACCACACACCCCGTACTCCCCCACTTGTCCTAAACCCTAAATCCCATTCATTAAGCCAACTTTTTTTTTTACTCTTTAAGAAACTCACATAGATGGTTCCAAGCCTCTGGCCTTTGGTTGAGATGGCTAGGACCAACATGTGAAGGTTCATAAAGGAGTTTCCATTCGGCAAGACTTGGTTCCAAGGTGGCTAAGCATGGTCAGGACCCATGACCAAGTATCCATAAACCTAAACCTACCTAAAATATCAAATTTTGCTGAAATTCTCTAAAATTCACAAAAACCCCAATTTGCATCCAATTTACCAAATCAACCCCAATTTATCACCCAATTCACTCCTAATACACCTAATTCCAAATTCAAACTTAATTCCACCAATTTCCAAACCCAAATTATAATTCAAGTCAAATTCTCAGCATGACAAGTCCTAAAACTCACCAAAGCCGAAAATTAACCCTCATCTCATGATTAAATTTTAAGAGCCCATTATGATTAAATTTCAAATGCCCATCTTACCTAATTTTAGAAGCCCAAGCTTTAATGCCTTTGAAACGCCCAAAGCCCACATGACAATTTCATCTTTATCATCCATTGAATCAAATCAAACCATAGATTATGCTATACATGATTAAATTATCCCACATTTGGATTTATACCAACACCTCACTAAAATCTCTAAAATTCCTAAATCCTTCTTCATGAAAGTTGGCTAGACCACATGCTAGCCATGGTGTCTTCTCCAAGTCATAGGTGAGCCATATCAGCCATGGAAAGTCCACCATGCCCCAAGGGGAAAAAGGAGGGCCTCCTTTCACCTCCCACCAAAGTGGCTCACCCAAACATATGCTTAATCCAAATCCTCATGATTGAGACTTGCCCATCCAAGCCCCCATAAAAGCCCAATCCTCATGACAAGCAATGACAAACTAATTTCATGCAAAGATCAAAAGTTATCAAAAAGTAATTCAAACTCATTCTCCCCCAAGCAAAATTAAATCTCTCTTGACACAAAATGACAAGTGATATATAATAATAATAATAATAATAAAAGGGGGAAAACAAATTTTTAATATATATATATATAATTATTTTGGGCTCACTGTTTTGGAATGTTTTTGGGAAGGGGGCTTGCTTTGATTTTTATATTTATTACACTCTCTCTCCCCTATTCTCTCTCACGGTTAGTGGGCAAAAAAAAAAAAAAAAAAAAAAAAAAGAGAGAGAACTCCACTCTTTTTTATATTTTACATGCATACCACCATTGCTAGTTTACAGAAAAAGTTGAGATTTACATGCTTGCCACCCAAATTTTATTTCATCCATACCACCTAATGCTTACGTATTTACATACCTAACACCTAAGAAAAAAGGGAGAGAGTTCACACACGACACTTTTGTTCTTGTGGATTTACACATTTAACACCAAAACTTCGATATATGCATGTTTTATGTATTTACATGTCCAAAACCTTAGCTTTAAAATTTACATCCATGCCACCATTCTCTTCACTTTGTCTCCTAAATTTTCACATACATGCTATGCAAATTTTATATATATTACATGCTCACAAGACAAATTCTTTTTATTCACATACATGCTACATATTTCTTTAATATTCAAACGCCCGCCACTTAACTTCTATGTGTTTACATGTCTAATATCTAAACTTTGATGACCTTTGAGCACGTCATTCAAACATGTCCAAAACTTAGACTTGTTAGATGCAAAACAAATAAGACTTCGGAGACGATGAGGTTGACGCGGCGCCGACGTGAATGAATAGATCAATAGGGTATTTTTTATTTAAATAAATACATCAACTTTAAAAATACATATCTTCTAGGAAAATCATTAAAATAAAATAAAAATACCCTAAACTAAAAAAAAAAAAGGGGATATTAGAAATTTAAAAAATAAATTTAAATATAAACTTGTATTTTTAAATATTTTTCTAATTTAAAAAATTACTAAAATTACAAAATATAAATACATTTCAAAAAATAACAAAAAATTTGTCTGATTAAATAAAAGCACATTAAAATACTCCCATAAAAATTTCAAATCCCATAAAAATTTCAAAGTAAAAAAATGTGTAAATGTATTTTCCTATAATATGACTAATTTTGACTCAAAATAGTTATAATAATTAAAATATAAATAAAAAAATATAAAATTAACTTTGGTGAGTTCTCTAAGCCCAGAGGGACTTAGAAAAAATAAAATTGTAATTAAAATAAAAAGTTCGTTTTTAAGCATTTAAAAATATTTAAAATAATAAAAAAAACCAATAAAATAAAAATATTTCAAAGTGCCACCAAATTATCCCTCATTAAAGATAATAATTTAAAAATGCCTTCCTAAATTTTTCAGGACCCAAAAATATACTTTTAATACCTAAAACAATTTTTCAAGATACTTATGATTACTTATTAAAATAATTATAAAAAATAAAATATAAATAAAAAAAAATATGAAATTGAGTTTGTGAACTCCTTAAGGTCAGAGACACTTAAGAAAAATAAAATTGAAATCAAAATGTTCATTTTTTGGGATTTTTTAATAAAAAATAATTAAATAATATTGGAAAAAAATAAAATGTGTCAAAATGATGTGAAATCACTCCTAATAAGATATGGTACCTTTAAAAATTTTTATAAATTTTCTAAAGCCTAAATTGTATTTTTAAACACTTAAAAATTGTTTTCTTAAAATTTTATAAATTATCTGCCAAAGTAATTCTAATAAATAAAATATAAATGATAAAAATATAAATTTAATTTCTCTGACTTCCTTGAAGTCAGAGGAGTCAGTGAAAAATAAAACTTGAACTTTGGAAATTAAATTATATTTTACATTTATTTATTCATCAAAACCAATATAAAAAGCATAAAAAATTTAATATAATTAAAAAAATCATTAATATTTCCCTAAGTAGCCCCCTGGCCTTGGGTAATAATCCATAATTTTCCCAAGGATAGAAAACATAATAATTAACTTTAAAAATTTATAATTTTTTATTAAAATAATTTCAAAAAATAAAATAAAGATAAGAAAAATGTAATGTCTCATTTAATGTCTTGATTAAACTATAGGTTAGAGGTTAGCCAAGTTTCATAATCATATGATTAGAAATGAGGGAGTTATGGGATATAAACCTTAAGGGTATGAATATAATTTTGGAAATTCATGTCCTAACCCCAAATTGATTAATATTTAGGCAGTAAACCATTCACCCGATTTCTATAAAAA